AACATCTAATGAAGTTAAGAATTTGAGGAACATTACAGGTCATATTCAGAGCTTTGAACCGTGATTTTATAGGACGCTATGATGGTTTATGGAGGAGAAACTGATGATGGTGCTGATGATTCGCTCTGGTCATTTAATACGACAAGTTTCCTTTGGAATAAGGTAACTTGCCCTGAGGAGGCATTTAAAGGCTGAGGATACACGGAAATTGGCGCCTACTCTTTCTGTCACCGCCCAAAATCTTACACGACACTTTTGAAGAACGTGCACTCTTCATTGCAATTTTTTTTTCTCCCTTCAATCAGTGCCCCTTGGATCAAAATTACAAGCTTTCGTATTTACTGTGTGGGAGTGCGGTGTACCTAACGCGCCTCACTACAGCTAGAGGATGAAGGAAGAACAGTTTGAAGAGAATGTTTTTTTGTTTTTTGTTTTTTTTTTAGTGTCACTGTGGGCAGAGCTCAAGCACCTCGCTTTTATTTTTTTTTTCTACTTGCGATACATTCAGTGACAGTACGTCAAGTAAGCTGTAACATTACGTCAGTCATAACTCCATGATATATTTAACATCCCCATCCGATGAGGTAATATGGTGTTACGAAATACCAGATTGAACATTTTGCTGGCTAGAAGGGTGGATAGTGAAGTAACCAAAAATAGTTTGCTCGAGAGACCAGAATTGCTGCACTGTCCCAAACAGCTGTAACTGACTATGTAGATTTATCTAATGCTTTAATTACCCCTGCAATCCTCTAGTTGATCAGCAAGGGCCCCAAGGTGGCAGGTCACACTATCACTCTTGTTGGAGATGATATTTACATTATCGGAGGATATGACCGCGTCAGGGGCTTCAGCGAGAGATCTTACAAATACAATGTGATCACTAAGGTGTGGGTGAACTTGACAACAAGCGGACCTTCCCCCAAAGGTTTGTATCGTCCATGGTGGTGGTTGTTTCGCGGACCAGTCATTATTTATCGCATGGGGGGGGGATTTTGGGAGGGATCGGTGCGGAGGGGGATCAGTCGTCGCCAATGAGGACGAGAGAGATGAATCATAAGAATATTGTATTGCAGAGCTTTATGGGGGGATCAGGTGAAATTTTATCGTTATACAAGCGAAATCCTCCGCACCCACCGCACCCCTCCCCCTTCCCAAGCGTTTTTCATTAAAGAGTCATAAAACCAAAACGAAAGTAATCACAAAGGCTAAAATCAGGAGAAAAGTAAACATCACAACGAACCATTGATCATTTACTGTAAAAACAAGCTAAATGCATAAAGAGTGGTTTTGGTTTGCATCTAATTGGATTAGAAAATGGCGCGAGTGTTCTGGAACAATCGTCGACAGTAGCGAAGTAAAACCAATGCAATCCCGAATTACTCTGATATAATCTCAACTAGAAATTGTTCTAGAAGGCAAACCCTGATGTTTTTGTTTTGTATGTTGTAGGTGTGTATGGACATTCTGCTGTGCATTACTCCACGTCCAGCAAGACAATTATTTTGGTGTTTGGTGGATATCGATTCAGGATTCACTCAGTCGCCGCTTCAGATGAGCTTTACTCCTTTGATCTGACATCAAAGAAATGGAGCATTTTGCAGCCTATGCCGTCCAATGAGGTAAGACTTGTGAAATCCAAATTACTGTGTCTTTTGTGCGAAAAAAAAAATATTAGATAAGAGTTACCCCAATGAGCAATCCTTCTAATTATATTTAGATAGGTTATTTTATGAACGAAGTGTCGAGACTACCAAACAAGGCCTCCCTTTGAAACAGAGGATGAATGTAGCTACAAGTTTGGTCTCGTTTGCATGCAATTTCTATCTCGACTTATTTTGTTTGTTTGTTCCCTCGTCTTTTTCACAGAATAGCAGGTAATTTAGTGTTAACAACTGGGTTGAAAACGTAAATTAGCCACCGTAAAGAGTAAAAAAGCTGACGTTTCGAGCGTTAGCCCTTCGTCTATCGCTCTGACGAAGGGCTAACGCTCGAAACGTCAGCTTTTTTACTCTTTACGGTGGCTAATTTACGTTTTCAACCCAGTTGTTAACACTAAATTACCTGCTATACTCTCCCACCGACGCAGCACCACAGTTTCTTTAGAAACTTACCCCTTCATTCATTTTTCACAGAATACTTCAGGCTATTGAAAGTTCTGTCATAGTGAAATGCTTTTTACCAGGAACGTTCTTGATTATTTTATCGTGAATGTTAGCCACAAATCTTCACTTTTCTTACTTACCCGTACAAACTCAGGAACGAAAGTTTGCTAACAGTAAAGACGATTAAAGTGCCGCGTGTTTTTCATTAATCTTGCTCTTGTACTATTTTTGCAGCCGAGTCCGAAATACTTTCACTCAACAGCCATTATTGATGATCTTATGGTTGTCTACGGAGGAAGGAGTAACACGTCAGATCAGTTTTTCTCACGTCAACTTTGGTTTTATAATGTTAAATGCAACTATTGGCATCTTTTCTCAGGTATTATTTATCGTTTGTCTTGTTTTAAAACTCTGTAAATCACACCAACTCATTATAATTTTGGCCATTTGCTTTCCTATCCGCTGTCAGAAAATTACCGAAACCATGATGACTACAACAGCCAATCACAACAAAGGAAATATCATAAGGAGCCAATGAGAACTCAAAGCAAAAACCAAGCGGGCAAAAAAGGCGGGAAAAGACGTGTGACAAATTCACGATTGGATTTAGTTTTGAATCTGATTGGTTGATAGAGTGGTGCGAATTCCTCGACCAGGCACAGAGCAGAGTTGACCTAAAACTAATGCGAATGGATTATTGTAAACGCTCAATTTTTATTTATATTTTCTTTTTTCTTATTGTGTTCTCCTGTAATTTGCAGAAAAGAATTTGGTCGGTAGCAAACCTGAGGGGCTTTTGTCTGCTGCTACAGTCCAGATCGCTGGAAAATTTTACCTTTTTGGAGGATTCGACGGTCAAACTCAAGCAGACCTGTTTCGACTCACTCTTCCTGTTGATCTGTGCCAAGGTTATACTTCCAAAGAGAACTGCAGTGCTGTTAAGACCTGCAGCTGGTGTGAACTGAAGAATGTCACGCAAGGGGGAAATGTTACCTTACTCACCAATAACAGTGCGTGCTACTCCGTGACGTCACCTTTACCAGCTGCCTGTTACGCCGAACCAAATGTCACGCAGGTATTTTAAAACACATAGTAGGATAGTACCTGGTTTCTTCTAAACCATGGATATTAAAACTCAACTCGAAGTTCTGACGGAATTATGCGAGCTTTTAAAGGTTCAATGAATTTTCTGTGTGGAAATTTGCACCCCACAATTTCCGCACCAAAATTGAGCAACGGTTTGGCTGATAAGTCGAGACCGTTTGTCAGACTTGACAGACTGGTCTAGCTAATCGTCTGACGGACCGTTGTCAGTCTTGTCTGACCGGCTAGACCGATCTCCCTACCGAGGAATGGACTAGAGGTCACGATTGACTGGCTCGACTAATTCGCTGAGTCAGTTGGAGTCTGATTGCGTGAACATACTTACCAATAACTTTCTGCTGATCTAATACGAAAGTTATCTCACTCACTTTTACTCACGTTCTGTGGCGGCCCAGTGGTTAGCGTTGGACTCTGAATTGAGAGGTCTGGGTTCTAGTCTTGGCTGAGTCAATTTGTTGTGGTCTTAAACAAGCCACTTTGCTCCGAGGTTCCCGTCTCCTCCCAGGATTAGAAATGGGTATTGTGTAAACCCGACAAAGTACAAATAAACTTATAGTGGCATCCCTTTTCAAGGGGAATTGTAATACTCTTAGTCGCTTCATGCTACAAAAATGATAAGCTCCGACTGGATGGGCCACTAGTCTGAGCTGTGCGAACTTTTTCTTTTCTTTCCTTTGAAATTGTAGGTTACACTGTACAATGGTACAGAATGCTCTGACCAATCAGATCGCGTGTGCAGCTCATTCTTCTCATGCAGCACGTGTTTGGCATCTCCAGTCCACACAAACCTTAATCCAAGCTGTAAGTGGTGTGTTGGTTGTAGTACGGGTGGGAAATGTATAGGATTGTCTGACGATTGTAATCAGGCGCACCCGTGCGCCCGAGCCACGCAGCAAGAGCAATTAAACTCGGACTTCTGCGTTCCGAACAATTGTGAAGCGACCTCATGCTCGGCTTGCATAGGCCTGCAAAACCAGTGCGTATGGACGCCGCAGTTAAAATGGCAATCTGAGGTTCGATTGGTGTTTTCAATCGTTCCCCATGCATTCAGTTGGAACTGCTGGGGAAATTTGCGAACAGAAGATATCGCAGCTATCGGTATTAAGGCAGTAACAACAAGCTCCTGTCCCCAGCCGTGTACAGCTCACAATAACTGCACTGCCTGCCTCTCTTCACCAGGTTAGTCCAGGGACAGTGTTTAATGGCGCTGGAAAACGCAATAACCTCTAATGTAGCCTGTTCCAGGCGTCCATGTTGTAAAATGAAACATGATAGTAAACAGCACTATAGTTGTGGAGTAAAAACTTGAGGGAGGCTTGGGTCGAGTCGCGTAATGAACCCGTTCTTTACCTAACCCGACCCAGACCTCCCTCGCTTTTTCACTCCTCTGCTAGTATTGCGCCGTTTGTTATTTCCCTCAGTTTAACCAACAGATCGCCAGGAACAAGCTAGCTCTAATGCGCTGTCCTTATATTGCTACTGCTCCTACGCTAGAAAATGATAACATTATGCTTATGCTGTAACGTTTAATGGTAGTAGCAGTTGTAATTATGTGTGTAATGGCAGTTATTATGAAACAATAATAATAATATACTAAAATAATTACTATAATAAAGTAATTATTACTTAAGCATGGTGTAATTACTGCTAAAGAGTAAGATTCATCATCGTTTAGTAAGATAAAACTATGTAATGAACAATTAAATGTAGGTATAAGATTAAGTTAAGTTGCTTACTTGCTTTTATGATCTGCAATTAAAATGAGAGCCTTTGAATGTGTCACTTGACTAACCTGGAGAATATTTCGGAGGAATATATTGGCGGGTTGGGTTTCATTCGGTCTGTAATTGTGTTTTATTGACACACAATGTGATGTCGAAGGTAGGTTGTGTCAAGCAATTTTGGTGAGTGATTATGAGTGATTTCAAAATCGAACGAGCGCGCAGCGCACTCCGCTCATATCAATTACCATTACAAATCGCAGCCGGTCACATCGAGAAATTTTTTTAAAACAATAAAATGTATGAACGCGGGCATAAATATATCTTGGGTCGCACTCAGAGCCCAAGCCACTGGGCGGGTGTCAAAATAACAATCCCGTAGAAGAGATAGAAAACTATTGTGAAAGCTGACGTTTGTGGGTGCGGACGGGTCGACGTGAGTTTTTCATGTAGAATTTTCTTGGTAGTTGTTCAGTGCGTACCCTTGAGTTTTATGTATGTTAGTACATCGTATTTAGGTTGAAACACAAGATTACACCAGGTGGTTATGCGATTAAATGCTTATTGAATGAGTGGGAGGGCAGAATTGTAAAATATTTGGCACGAGGTCATGAAGTTGGTACGTAGCGGGCTGGCGAAGATGAGTAAGTGATTTTTAATCATTGAATACCTGATAAAAATGTTTTTAATTTAAGTTGCCGTGTTGGAGAGGTCTCTAATTTAGGTAGATAGAAGGAAAGCGACAAGGTCCGGAACTCTGAGAGCAAGACAGCTTATCGTTAATTTTTTTGTTCTCTCAGGTGCCGATGGCGCTTGGAAGGAATGTGTCTGGAGTGAAACTTTAGGTCAGTGTTTCTCGCCATCTGCCCTGCCGCTCATCTGTTTGGCGGGACGTTGCGGACGAGTGCTGCGAGGATCGTCTTCGAACTGCATGGGAAACTGCATTGACAGTAATCAATGCTCCCGTTGTTTGAGTAGTTATAACTGCGGCTGGTGCGGAAAGTATGGAACAACAGGAGAAGGGGAATGTTTTGAAGGCGGACTGCAAGGTCAGTGTGATAATTGGTGTAGTTTTAAAATTTCGTGCCCTTCAGGAAATTCTAGAATCTGATTGGATGGTTATAGTACATTGATGGCCGAAGACACAGTATTTAACGGGTGGTAGGTGTGGCTGAGTGGTTAGTGCGGTGGACTTGTAATCTGGTGTTTTCCATCCTGCCACTCATGGATCTGTTCTCAGTTGCCCCGAGCTATACTAAGTGGTTGCGTTTTGTATACAGCTAACTGGTCTACCTCAAGCCAGTTGAAATTTTTAAACACTACGTTTGATTCCAGTTTGTTTCTATTGGTTATGAGTAGCCCCACTGGGGGATTGGTTAATTAATTAACGTGACAGTATTATTATTACTAAAATTATTATTATCATCATTATTATAAATATTATTGTCTTAATGGCGTTCTTCATTCAAATCATACTAGGAACCTTTCATAGTAATTTACTTTTAAGTTCCCTAGTCATTAACTTTCCATTCTTTTATGTTTTTTTTTCGTCCATCTGTGCGCAGGAATTGAAACGTTAACATTCTGACGCTTCCTTTGTTTTGTTGCGCTTAATAAAAAATATCACTGCTGTACAAATATAAGGAGACCGGAGACTTCGAAGCCACAACAAAAATTATTCGGCAGTTGTGTCTGAAGAAATCGCTAAGTATATAGAAAATGACAACCAGAAACAGTCGCGCGGGGTGATCGTTTCACTGTTTGGGAAATCTCAAACTCGTAATCGACTCTCTAAAAATCTCTTATTTTCCCTCGCGATCTGCCTTTTAAGGTCCTCTCCAGCGTTCTTGTCCAGGAAGGAACGCTTCCAACCACGTGTCGCGTGTGTGGGCCTCTACTTTGTGTCCCCTGGAAAATGAGTGCCTCAATGGACGACACACTTGTAACAGGATTACGCAGGACTGTGTGGACCTACCGGAGGCGTTCAAGTGTGTTTGTAAAGCGGGTTACAACGACACAGGGAACCCAGGGTGAGTAGGAGTCATGAGTAACCTAGGAGGATTGCGGGAAAAACTGATACGTGTCTAAAGGGTTAAGATGGTGTGCAAGAACTCTTTTTTTTGTACTAATGAACCGCGCTTGGTTAGTTCGTTTAAGCTGTGTGGGAAGAGGAGGAGGAGGAGGAGGAGGGTTCAAGCCCCAGGCTGGATCAACACTTAGGGTCTTAAAAGAAGTGAGGAGAATGTGCTGATTTTGTTAGGACATCCACAAATGGTTCGACATTCTAGTCTTCTCGGATAAGGACGATAAACCGTAGATCCCGTCTCCTGCATTTTCTCCGTACTGATTAGCAGGGGACGTTAAAGAACCCACGCACTTTACCCAAAGAGCAGGGACCGTAGATCCCAATGTTGTGGTCAGGCTTTGTTATTGTTGATGCAATATGGAAAATGAATAAATGATCAAATTAATAAAGCAGTTCACCTATCGCTGATCTCTTTCCAGAATTTGTCTGCCAGTGTGTTCTAAAGGATGCGTTCATGGCCGCTGTGTCCGCCCAGAAGTATGTGAATGTGACTTTGGTTGGACCTCTACTGACTGCTCTGTCAAATGTCTGTGTAATGATCACGGACAGTGTGCGAATGAGACACATCTGGATGTCTGTTACGGTTGTCGGAACCACACAGTAGTAAGTTGTTGTCACGTAACTATCTTTAATGGTCTGGAGCTTTCTGCCTTATCACGAAATATTTTCTACCGCGAGAATTGTTGCACGATGCTCTTCATATTATCCAATTGCGCGTTTTAGATTTTGAATAAACATCATGGTAGCGAATTTCCATGCAATGACAAACCAGAGGTTACTGAAAGGTGATGTTATTCAGTGAATGACACGGGTATACTCGGAAAGAAGACGGAACTCCGAGTGCTCCCGAGTCAAACCGATGAGCTTCCGATTAGTACCTCAAAAGCTCTATCACTAAGTTACAGGAGACTGGTGGTAGGCTAGGCCGTTAAACCAGGTCTGTGTTGACAAACTTCTTGCTCACTGCAAGGATAGGAATGTTGATGAAAGACGCTTTTGCGCAATGATGATGATAGGTTACTGGTTTGTTGTGCATTTCCTCAGGAATCGTTACATAATGTGCCAAACAAAACCCTAATCAGTGTCATAGCTGTAGCTGAATTATCGCAGTGATTGGGTATTTTCAAAAAATGCTCTTTGAGAACCATTTTAGGGATTTTTAAACTCAAATTGACGGGTACAGCTGTTAGTTTCCCACGCAAAAACTGTAGTGTAAGGGTCTTTTGTTTGATGTATTCAGGGTCAAAGCTGTCAGTTCTGTGAAGCTCTGTACGTTGGAGATGCAAGAAACAACGGCAGCTGTGTATCATGCTATGACGCGTGCAATCATCGAGCACATGTGTGTATGAACAAAACCGATCTACAGCGTGGCCGGAATCTGTCTCTGTCTTTTAACTATTCAAAGGTTTGTGGACTCTTGCTGTTAAATTTATCTGTAATTGAACCGCAACGGACTGCATTCTTTGGCCTTTCTATAAACCAATGAGCTGGCGAAATCGGTACTGAGCGCGAAAACCTTGTAAACGGTACCAAAGTCGGGAAATGTGTCATCGGTACAAATCACAGTTAACCCTTTAATTCTCAGAATCAGGGCGTGAAATTAACTTTTTTTTCTGATAGCCACTTGGCTCCTAAACTCTTCAAAGTGGTAGCCAATTCAAAAAAGTTGGCCGCCATTTTCAAAGACAAAAAAAATCTTTCTTTACGCTGTCAGCGTTCTAGATAGACCCTCCAAAATTAAGTTAGGGAAAAGATCTTTAACGTGCTACAAAGTGGACACTAGGATGGATGATTAACAACGTTCAGGCTCATCTAAATCCAAGATGGCGTCTAGTTATCGATCGAGATGCATGTAATACGTTTTGGAAACAAACTTAACGAGGAAGTTTGCCGCGGATTTATCTTTGCAAATCTTTTTAATTTACTATATCTCTTGGTAAGGTTATGATGAAACGTTCTAGTAGCCAATTTGGCGACTAACTTTCAGGATTTGGTCGCCAAAGTGAAAAATTTAGTCGCATTGGCGCCTGTATTAGGCGCAATTTCACGCCCTGCAGAAGTGATTAACATTTAACCTCTCCCCATGATATCCATACTTTATCCAGCAAACAGGTAGTGAGAATACTGAAACTCATCGGGTACAAGATATTACCTCGATAAAACACCAAATTCTTGTAACCAATTTACAAGGAAATGTACATAAGTTAGAGGGAGAATTAACAATCAAATCTTGGGAGTTGAAGGGTTAACTCACATGTGGGTAGGCCCTTAACATTAGCTCTGTCGAACTCACGTTTCTGTGCTAAGCTAGACCCGCTGAAGACCTCTCGTTGGCGAGAGGTCTGAGCGTTGCGCAAAGCCTCATACTTTCCCGCAGGGGAAGAAACACTTGAGCAGAAGCGTTAATAATGAGGGCTATCTTGCGAGCCGGTGCCAATGGCGGATGAAGCGCGGTAAAGCGTGTGAGCGGCGCCAAGCGCTAGAAAACATGCAATCAGCTTCTCACGCGGGGAAACTGATCTGTGATGAGATAAGCGAAAAATGATGTTCAACCTGTGTAAGGAGTGATCGTTTTGTTCCACTGTTGAAGCGCATGCGATTATGCTTATTTAACATGGCTTCTTAATATTAATCAAATTTGACCGAAAACAGGTGAAGGACTGGGTAAAGCATGGACCGTACGAGATTAAATACGAAGAAGAGTGCCTGTGTCAAAACAACAGCGAAGGTGTTCAGTGTGATTCGTGTGTTACTGGGTTCTTCGACCGCGAAGGCGAATGCGTTAGGTTTGTGTTGTCTTCACATCTCTGTGTTTATAATGGGACAAAGAATATTTATAGATGCTAAGTTGTGTATATTGTTATTATTATTCCTAACTCAAACCAAGTGAAAGTTTTATTTGATAGAGTTTCCACAATAATTCTTCTACTTTAAGGGTATTTTTGTTTTACTCGTTGTGAGCGAAAATATTCCTCAGCTATTTCGTGACTTTATAAGCTTTTTTTGTTCCCCAGTGTTTGAGTTCTTTGTGCAGGTCTGATGACGTAAAACAAAAGAATGAGAGACAGAGCGAAAAAGGTCATTCGCACGCGACAAATCTTTAAAATGTCTCCTTTAAGGCTCACGCAATATTTCTTGAAGCGAATAACCTAAATTGTTCTTCATTTTTAAATGATATATCATTCCAGGGAAAGTTCCTCAATTTGGCCGCAGAATATTGATCAAGTGATCAAGCGTTTGCAGTCCAATTTTATTTTTCTCGGCTGTCCGTACTGCACTTTGTTCTTGAATGACAACTTGGAAATCAAAACTTATTTTAGTAGTTCTTTTTGTCGCCATGTAAGTCAAATGAAACCAGGTTCAAAAGTGAAATGGTAACTACCATATTTCTATCAATGTATGACTTAATATTTTTTGTTTGTTTTTTACTTCAGATGTTTGTGTAACGGACATGCGGATTCTTGTAAGGATGACGGGAGATGTCCTTGTGGCAACAACACAATGGAAGACTGTCCAAACACAGAGGATTGTTACAAAAATCAGGCAAGTGTTATTTTTGTTTTGTTTTGTTTTTTTGTTTTTCGGTTGTTTTATTTTGTTTTAGTTTTTTTTTCTTTTACAGTTTGATGGGTTTTTTTTGTATTTGTGTATTTGGCAGGGCTATTTTCCTTAGAATAAACGGGGTAAATTTCTCAAGGAACTGTGGTGCTGCGTCTGTGGGGGTATTACAAGTTCCTTTAGTTTTTATCAATGGGTTGATAATGTAAAATGGCCACCGTAATTTTTGTTTAAAGTTGACGTTTCGAGCGCTACCTCCTCGTCAGAGCAAAAAACATTGGAGTCAACCTTTAGCCTTCAAAAAAGGCTTTAAAAAGGAAATTATCAACAAAGTTTCCTGCTAAAAAATCTGAAAAACCAAATGTTTGGGAATCACCGAAACACCGCACAGTACACACGGAACAAGATAGTCACGCGATACATTTCCCACTCGCTTAGTCGCGCACAGGGTTCCTGTGTATATTCTTGAATTAATGAAAAAAAAACAGTGAAAATTATAAAATAATTGCAGAACCTGGAGAAAGTTTCGAGAAGAAAGATGAGATTTTGAAAAGAATGAAAAGATATTGTGAAGTTGTTTCTAAGCGATAAGAGATGCTTGATTACTCTGTAAGAATATTTACATGTTAAGTTAGCTGACTTACACCTTTTTTCAGTTCTCTAATTTTATTTACGTGATCTTGGAAAATTTTAAATTTTTGAGCAAACCTTAAAAATAAAAGTCGCTTTATGCTGTTGACTGTAAGCTTGAAAAATGAGAATAATGTTTTGAAAAAAGTCGTTTCAAAAAGCTTGGAACGTAGTGCACAAGAACCCTTCCGACACATCTTATAATTAAGATTAGGTTACCTTTACTTTCAACCCTTTAGATCTCGGTAGTAATTCTCCTTACAGTCTGTCATATAATTCTTATGAGGTTGGTTCAAAGAACTTGGTATTGGATCAACTAATCCCCTAATTGACATTTTTCTCCTTTCTCATTACTTGCCTGCTTGATAGTGATTGATATTGTAAGGAGAAATTCTGTCTTGGTCATTCATGGGGTCAAAAGGGTTAAACTAACAAGAAAGTATTCCACTCCACAGTGTGTTAAATGTAAAGAAACCTTCATGGGTAACCCAGTCAATGATCAGCAGTGCTACAGAAAAATCAGCGTCATGAAGGAGTTTGTGATCGGTAAAAAAACATCAGAGACCAGCGAGGAAACAGTAGAACCGTTACCACATGGCCAAGCTATTTTCTACGCTATATATCCCAGGTTTACTAACGTGGATATTCGCATGACTATTGATGTGTTCGAGGGATCAGTCGATGTTTTCGTTGCAGATGAAAATGACGAATTCACAGTGACTCTTAACGAAACCTCTGGACATCATAAAGTGAAAATCAAATCACTTGCCTCGTCAAGGTAAGTACTAGGCCATTTTCGTTATGTTATGGACGTAAGATGAGAAAACTGGGTCTAGAACACCTTAAAAGTGTTTCTTGTCGGAAGTTTCAACAAGAAAAGCAAAACGAAAAGAGTAGAACCACTTAAAAGTTTGTTTGCTCTTTTAAGTACTTTTTCTTGTGAGTTTACTAGTTGGCCTCGATCCCACACACTCGATCCAGTCTGCTGGGTCGTGAAGAATGAGAACCACATGATAACCTGCAAGTACCCCCTCACCCCTCCCAGGGTTAGTGACGGTTACTAATTAATTTTCTCCGTCAATTAACACCCGCAGACGAAAGAAGCGAGCATCAGAACAAGACGGAGTTGATAGCTACAGTGGTAACGATAAGGTGAACGTAAAGGTAGCATCAAGTACCGACCTAAACACCTTCGTTTCATACCAAGATAATCACAAGGCACTTGTTATTCGAGATGTTAGGAGACGTCTTGTTCTGACATTCCCTCACATGTCACACTACCTGCGTGACACAAGATTCTATATGGTGTTTGTTGGCCGTGACGGGTCTGGGACCAAAGGTCAGGTATACTTCAGGCAGGACCTGTCCCAGATTGATTTGTTCGTGTTCTTTTCAGTGTTTTTCTCCGCATTTTTTCTTGTGGTTTCTGTCAGCGTATTCGGCTGGAAGATCAAACAGTATCACACACGAAGAAGAGTTATCGAGGTGCAAGAGCATCAGCTGAGAACGATGAAAAACCGGCCATTTGCAACGTACTCGTTTCTCTGTCAAATGAAAAAGCCACAGCCAAGTCTTTGGCGTGTCAAACGTGACATAGCTACTCTCCTATTGCGTGACAGTTCATCGGTCAAAAACAACCATTTACGACTTAGGGACGTAAAGGACCGACCTGTTATAGCCCCTGTTAGTCAAGAGCATACTGCAGATGGGCGCGCATCCGTTACCACAGTAGTGTTTCAACTTCCGGGCAACGAATGCTCTGATTTTCAACTGATGTTAGGTTCTTCCTTGACCGTCGTTTCTAATCAACATTCAGTTGGTGGTGAACATCACAGTCGCAATGGAAGAACATTTGGTACGAGAAGGACAGTCACTTTTACTAATTAATTATTTGTATATAGAGCAGTAAATAATGACAACTTTTTCCAGAAAAAGTTTTTCCGTTCTTATTCGAAAGTTTAGGTCGTCACGCAACGCTTGACAGTCGCTGCGTGATAATCTAAATCTTTCGAACGTACCCTCTGTCACGCAATGCCATATTTACGTTTCCATAGGTAGTTAGATGATGAAATTGTACAGAGGAAATGAAACGATTTCGACCTTTGTCGACAGTCAGATTCAACTCATGCATTCTAAATATACGCGATTTTTCTTCTTTAGATCCACTATTTATTTTTTTAATTTTCCCAATATGTGACCACTTCAAATAAAATTTGTCGAGAATGTTATGTGGCAAAAATCGGAAATGATGCGTAGCAATGAAATGATTCAGTGAATTTAAGTAGGTTTTGTATTGAAATCCGACTCATCGCCGCTCCCCTAAATCTCTCCGAGATGTTATTGTTTTAAATAGGCAATTCTAAGGGGAGGTGGAAGGAGAGATGATAACGTAACTACTATACACATTTTTAATTAAAAAATTAAAAACTCATTTCAAAAAAAAATGTGTCCTGGAGCTTGTAAAAATAAAATTCTTTGAACTCATATGGTAAGTTTACTCTTTTTTACCTGTGCCATCTTTCTCAGTTATATTTTGAGAAAAGCGCACACAATCATAACACTCGAGCGCTCTTAGCTCAAACTCTTATGAATGCTAGGATTCCTTGAGTTTGAAAGTTGTGACTTTGTGCGGTTAAGGTGCTAACAGAGACAAAATTCTTTGAATTTGTCTTAATTTTGTGAATGAAATATTTTCAGGCAGATTGGTTGCAATGACTTAAAAACTTCACATGTGATATATATGATACTCCAAATAATCTGAAAAAATATATATTTGTGGGTGTTATGGAATTAAGGGGGTGTGTTAAGAGGCCATTTTGGAGGCAAACCTCTCTAAACCCTAGCCAATCTGAGATTACTCTGTTTGGCACATGCATAAATAAATAAAATGAAGAGGATAAGGATTTTCAGCGCAGACCGCCGATGGATATTCAATTATTTAATAACTGAAAAAAACCGAGGTTGCGATCTAATACCTTCTCTAGAGTAGAAAATGTCCCCACAGGAAATTTTTTGGCCATCCGCTCCACACCCTGGTTTGTAGAATGTGACAAAAAAATCTCAGAATTTTATCAAAGCCTGTAGAGTTGTCGAAGTATTTTCTATCATATTGATTCTGACGCCAATAATAGTTTCCAACCAGTGAGAGCAGTGGTAGGGATTGTTCATCGAACGATGCTTCTTCTATTGGAGAGAAAACGTCTGATTAGTCATTAAGATTAATAAGTGACAGACGGCCAATTTAATCACCAGTTTGAAATCGTGAGGTCTCTCGCTGAGTTGCAACTTAACAAAGACCGTTCGACCATGCATCATCAGTTCAGATTGAATGATCTGTTATCTCAAAAGCTATCGACAGCGTTTGGTCAACACAACACATCTGGGCAAGAATACCTTTGTCTGCGATGACGTCGGCAATATAACTTTGTCCAATGACAATTCTTCACCATATCGGGTTAGCGGAATATCAGATCACCAGGGGACTTTAAAAACGATTCTCGTTTCTTCGGAACACGTTCACCCACACATATTGCTCTAACATGGAAGAAAGAAAGCGGTCTGTTACTGTTGCCATCGATTTTGGAACGACATACTCCGGGTTCGGTTTTGCTGAAGCAAACGTTTCGGGCGAGTCGGGTATACAAGTATTTCGTGGATGGGGTCGTGGCCAAGGATTCAGCTTCTACAAAACACCAACCAGCGTCCTATTAGCGCCGGATGGAAATTTTAGCAAATTTGGCCATGCTGCTGTCGAAGCTTATGCCAAAAATCTTGCTAAAGGAAATAATCAGGATATCATTTACTTTGAGAGGTTCAAGTTAGTTCTCTACAATACAAAGGCAAGTGGTTTGTTTACGCTTTCGCGTCCAGCTCACGGGTACCTTTTGTCCCAGCTTTTATTGATTTCTTAAAAATTCCTACATTTTTTCTTTCTCCTCCTGTCTCCTTTCTGCTCTGATCTAATTTATAAGTTTTGCCTCTGAATTCGTGTTGATATCTATAGTGAAAAATGCCGTTCAAAATTCTGTGACAACACAGCAAAGAGAACATTTTTGAAAAACCAACGTGTCCAAATGAAGCAACGCACGCATAGAATCCCAAGTGATTGTGTGAACTGATGAAAGAAAAAGCCACGCACGCTGATGTTTTGTCTTGTTGATATTACTGACAGCCTAAGCATTCCTCACGAAAGAAAGCACTTTAATCAGATATTGAGGTGAAATTTCTGCATTATAATGCCTTTTGCAAACAGTCTCATTTTCTGGCGTTGTTTTTATCTTTTCTCAGCATGAAATTAGGACATATTACAAAAGACCTATTTAAAGGAGACCGCTCTTTTCTCGAAGCTCATTTTCAACAAAATTAATCATGGCTTTGCTGCCAAATTGTCGTCTCGTTCAGAATATTTCTTTAACTAAAATACGATCAAACCGATTTTTCAAATGTAATTTTCTGGAACGATATTTAATCAGGTTTTCGCTTTGTTTATTTGTATGCGATCAAGAGAAGATTCCAGTTTTGTCAAAACGACCTGACAGACGAGGTCAATTGATCCTAAGTATTTATGTTACAAAAGTAGACAGCTCAAATTGGTTTAATGTGGCACGCCTCCGATTTTTCTTTAAGTGTGGGCCGCTTTTAAATACTGGAAAATTCAAGAACAATGGCTAAATATCGTTATCAGGTGTTTCATAGCACTGAATTTTGCTTTGGTGGTCTTTCAGCTCTCGAACCTAACCACCATTAAAACACAGGATCAATTCGTCCCAGTTTCGTCTACAAATGAAAAGAATAACATCGCAAAGCATCACACAAGTATCATGTCGAACTGATGAGTAAGGTCGTCTCATCCTCATTAATTTTGTTCTTTCCGAAAGAGCGTGGCGGAATCTTGATGTAACAAGTAGTAAATAGACTGTGTAAACACCTGGATGATCGCGGGCCCGTTTTCCAATCTGCTAAGTTAATATTTACCGGGCTTGGAAACCAGTGTTATACGTTTTGTCCTTTAGTTTAGAGCAATCTTTTAAGCGACCTTAGTATAAAAAAAATAATATTTCTGACTTGCTTTTTTAAAATAACCGGGAGGATGAATAGGGCCAAGATGAATGAATAAAATGAAACATGCATGACTGAGTGTTGTTGTAAATATTTCTAAACACGGACCGAAAAAATCCAAAACAAGACTTGACTTTCATTGTTAGGCTCTTTCCAAGGACACCAGCCTGATGGCATCAAGCGGAGCAGTAGTCAAAGCTTTGGACTTGTTCTCAGTGTGCCTGGCATATTTGGGTGACAAGGCAATGGAATGCATCAATGCCAGTGGTCAGCGGGGTAAAACTTATGAGTCGCGTGATGTACAATGGGTGGTAACGGTTCCCGCCATTTGGGAGCCGACTGCCAAAGAATTCATGCGCGAGGCAGCTTATAAGGTAATTCATAAACACTTCTTTTTCTTGAATCAATTTAATCTCTATAGAGTACCGTATATGCATTAAGCTTCATAACTGTAAACTCTTTTCCAAGAAGTTAAGACTAAATTCAAAAGCTTTATGACGCTTAAAAGACATATTCTGTAATAATTTGTTTTAGGTGAAATACACTAGTAACCCCACTCCAAAATTCTATAGTATGGGCTCGTAGAAAATATTCTTTGAACTAACAAACGAACAGTAAAGATAGACCCTTCCACCACTACAACGATCTCTTGGTAATACTTAAGCTAAAACGCGGGACCGGTAGAGAGAGAAGTTTTCAAGAGCGATGGGAAGGGGAGACAGGAAAGCTCTTATGTTGCTCTTTCTTTCGACCCCGCGCCATCAGTAGACTCATCTGTGATGTATTTGTACAGATTCTCTGTTGGCTTGATACGAGCATATTGGTGTCACGCAAGTCATTTGCATAACGAGAGTTCTCTTCTTACAGGCAGGATTGGCGTCACCCGACGACCCAGACCAACTATTGATTGCTCTAGAACCTGAAGCAGCGTCGTTTTACTGCAGAACGCTACAGATGAAAGACTTCCTGGGGGAGACTGGAGACGAATCAGTAAACGAAGACCTGGCTTCATATGTCGTTATAGATAACGGAGGTCAGATGTTTCTTCTTACTCGAGTCACGAATCAGCCTTGTTTCTGTTTTGGTTGAATTTCGCATTTCATACCATTACTACAATGCAGTTGTCGTTTAGCGAGAGTAAAATAACAGTTTCTTTAAAGATTCCCTCAAAATGCCTTCTCTCTCTGATTTTAAAACCAGTGCAAGTGCGAAGCCTTTGATTTGAGAATAATTTATTGGTGCTCGTGCTTACGAGGCTCATTTTAAATAGAAAGATTTTGAATTTGACCTCACTTTAAATGAGAGTTTTAGAGACTAGGGAATAGCTTAGCACCTTGCGTCCTTAAGGCAAACTAAGCAGCAAGATATCCAATCGGTCATTCGCACCTCTAAGCTTATTCCCAGGTTCTTTTCTCCTCCCAGCGAAGAGAACAGAGAACCTGGAAATAAGGTAAGCGCGCCTTTACCACTCACGTCAATGTAGTTAACTGAACAGGCTTGGGCAAGCGCTAATAGAGGTGGAGATTAGTCAGAGCCCGAAACTCCTATTCAAGTATATGTTCAAGTAAACGATCATATTTTGAGTACGCTTTTGAAGGTAATTCGTGTCTGTATTGGTTTTACTTTAATAAAAACTTCACGATTGGTCCAGAAAATCCGCACCATCCTTTCAACCACTAAGAAACCACACTAGGATCAATGACGATTGGTTATGCGTTTTTCTCATCGGCTCCTTCTGATATTTACCTTCATTATGATTAGCCGCGGTGATTGTTTTGGGTTTGGTTTTTACGAAGTTCAATATGAGCTTGCTCCTGTTCCTTTCAGGCGGTACCTTGGACATAACAGTACATGAAATACAGGAGGACGGCACGATCCGCGAAATTCACTGTCCAGCGGGTGGCCAACTGGGAGGCATACACGTAGATAGGGAGTTCCAGAGCATGCTGGTGACAATATTTGGAGAAGATTTTATCAACAAGTTCAGAAGAGATTTCCCAAACGACTGGCAGAAAATAATGAACGATTTTGAGATACAGAAGAGAGCTGAGGAAGGCGTCGACAACGAGGAAGTCAGCATAACTTTACCATTTAACTTCGTGAACGCCTATTCACGCGACATTGGAAGTGACGAGAATATTAACGAAAGATTGAAGATGAACTACAAAAATAACCAAGTGCAGGTTAGTAACGGTTACCTAAGTCTTAGTCTAGAGGTGATCAGTGGTTTTTATGAACCAGTTGTGCAAAAAACCGTGGGCGTTGTCCAGTCCCTCTTGGAGCAGATCAAAGACGCAAATGTGAACACGATGTTTCTGGTAGGCGGTTTCTCTCAAGCACTACCACTGAGGAAAGCTATAACCCAGGCCTTTCCTGACATGAGGGTTTTGACCCCCCGCGATGCCGAGCTGGCCATCATCAAAGGCGCAGTGATGTTCGCTCAGGCACCAGATTTGCTCACAACCCGGGTTATGGCCAAAACATACGGTATCGACATCAATGAAACTTTTGACCCAAGTAAACACCCAGACGAGAAGAAGACAGACATTTGCGGTGTCAGCTACTGCGAAGACGTTTTCGATATTCTGGTGAAAGAGGACGAACAGGTGAAGGTTGGAGAGAAGAGAACGTTTTTCTTTTCACCTGTGCACCCCGAACAGACAACAGCTTCGCTTCGTTTCTTTAGCACTCACAACAAGAAGGTGCAGTTTGTGACAGACCAAGGAGTCACAGCAGAGAATGTGGCCTTTCAGATCGTCAGCCCGGATGTTTCCAAAGGGATTCACCGCAATATAGAACTGGATGTCTACTTTGGCGGAACTGAGATCAAAGTCTTTGCGACTGACGTCACGTCTGGAAGTTCTGCCAAGGCCGCGCTGAGACTAGTGACCAAGAATTTAACATGATCTCACGGACAAACGAGCAAGATTTTCGTAGAGGACTTAAAGAAAATTCCTCGTACAAGTTATTCAAACAGGAATTATTTTAGTCACATTAAAATACATAATAAAAATATTCTGAGGGGAAAATAAACAGCTGGTATCATAAGCAATCTACTCAAGTGAATGAAAAATCCTTGGAATGATCACATTTTAACTATTAAGTTCGATTTCTAAACAGGCATTTTAATTTCCCACGTTTTTATTGCTTGCTTTCCTATAAAATTTTAACTTTTTACCTAAACTACGATGCATTGATGATCCATTTGCGAAATCATGAAGTTGTTTTCCATGTAAGAAAAAGTTACCAAAACAGTGTTAAGACAAAACGTCCTTGCGTTAACTCTTATCTGACTTGTTTCCTTCCTGGTGGCTTTAGCAGACCTCACGCAATGCTGTCACGACGACACACTTTTGGAAATGTTTTTTGCGTGACAGTCTAAAAAACAGACAACTGCGAATTCGACTTTTTTTTTTTCGACCAATTCCCGCCAAACTATGTTCGTGATCAGTTTGAGCTGATTACTTTCCCGACTAAAATCGTTGCTTCCTAAGGTAATTCTCTCGTTTCGTGCATCTTTTCCTCCCTTCACTTGTTATTTTGTGAAGTAAACCTGGAGATTAATGGTTACCAAACTCCTTCCCTTCATCACGTGCCCACGGTCGAGTCAGGGCTGGTAGACTGAGTCCTACTTGGCACAGACTTCCCCATTAGGATCTTGTTTGTTAGACGTACTACCACGTAAAACAGCCTGACTGGTACTTGACTGAAAAAATAAAATGGATGTACTAATAGTGCGCTTTGCAAAACAGACCTTAATCTCGTACGATAAACTTCTCAATATGAATCAAAGTCCTTAAATACGTCGTGGTACCAGGAAGAATAAATTAAACTAAGGCTTCAAACCTAAAAGTAACTATGTCAAGCGTTCCCGTCATGTCGTCTATACCACCAAATTTTGTTCTTGGGAACCTGCCATACTTTATCTCCTGAGGGGAGGGTTAGAGGATTATTGGGGGACCACATGCTTTTCAGAGGGGGATGGTAGGGAAGAATCAGTCGTCGTGGCAGAGTACTAAGGGGGGGACTATAGAAAATTTGACTACTCTTGAGGGGGGGGGGGTCCTTAGGAATATTACAGAGCCTTATGGCCTTAAGATAAGTTCAGTGCCAATTTTTTTATCTTAATTATCTTGTATCTGTTATGAGTTTAAAATAATTTTTTTCCTTTTGTAATTAGTTTTTGGCACTGATCCTTTTTAAACTAGGTAAATAATTAAGGCGGCTTATTTTAAGGAATCGTGTATTCTGTTTTAAATTGTCCCCAAATTGATTGAAGTGACTTGTTCAATGTAATTAATTCGGATTAAGGATTAGATCAATTTTATCGGGCACAACCATAGTCCCCCCGACCTCTACACTTCCTTCCCCCGCTCGAAAGCGATAAATAGTGACCAGTTCCTTAGCAATTTCCTTTTGCCGAGGAAGACTTTTCAAAGACATGCTAGCCCAAATACGGCTTTAGCCGTAGGAAGTTAGAGCAAACCGATAGACCAAGAAAACTTAACGATATCCTCAAGAAAATAAAGTTACTTACTTTGTTTCTACGACTTTTGCTTGATTCCCGCTGATAATAAAAATGGGAAACAGTATGGCAAACACACAGCCGCTATGGATAAGGAAAACCACCGTTATTTTGATTAAAGCTGTGAAACAAAACTTCCCTAGACTAGTCCCCACATATTTGACTGCACTACAATGCGGTAGATATACAAGTGTTTTCAATGTGAACAAAGAGAAAGCCAGTCTTCACGGGAATTGGGCAACCCTTCGACCACTGGGAGTGACTAGCATTGAACGCAACCCCTGAATCAAAGCATTAATGTTGTGAGAATAACGGGATTGATCACCAAGTAAAGAGGCTCTTGATTGCTATACAAATTCTCCTTTTGCGCCTTAGGAAATGTATAGAGAACAGTTGGAGAATATTCATACTGATGTTGGGTGTCAAGGCCAAACAATTGGCGACAGTGTCATGGAATAAGGTGGGGGGGGGGGGTAGGGAAGAAAAGACTTTTTCGTCGGTTTCAAGGTCAGATAGGTTTTGGTTTTAGGAGAGATGATTTAGAAAATGTTCATTCTGTACGAAAATGTAAAAACCTGTGGCCTTACATAACAACGTGAGAAACGCTTTTTGCGCTCGCAAAGAGACACCTTTTGGTCACTAATAACCATTCCTTTAGATCATCGTTTTCTGCTCTTTTCAGTAAGAAAACGTTTTCCCGCTCTTTCCAAACAGGACATGGATTCCCGAATTTTTCAGCTGATACTCGTTTTTCATTTGGGACATGTCTTATGTTCCCATGCTCTCTAATCAGTACATGCTATCTGTCACCCCCTGAGAAGTAAGAATGGCCTTCCCCTGTCATCACACTTGCGGTAATTTTTTCCTGTACAAACCTGATTATAGTGGAAGGCGCTAGTGAGGTGAGAACAGCAAGAGGAAGTCCAAATCCCACGAAATATGGCCAGTTACATTCCATGTACGTGAGTCGCTTTGGGGCGGGCCATCCTGTAAAATACATTCCAAAGAAACAACATTAGATTGAACAAGACGATATACCAACTAATCCTCTGAAAATTTGACACCGGTGAAATTATAAGATTCCGTATAACCCAATAGTTTCTCTCGGTTGTCCTTGTTTGATTTTGTCACAACACAGGTGGCCCAAGCTCCAGCTGAGAGATGACCATCTTGCGAAGTAACAGTCATGGCGAAGTTATAAGAGTTTGTATGTTGTATGTTTGCTCAAAGGAATGAAAAAATAAGTCAAATTCTCAATAAAAATACCTCACTTTACTTCCACAGTGCATCGCTTGTTATCTAACCGCTTACTACGTTGAAGGGAACCCATGTTAGCGAGTTATCCATTTCGAGGTTTTCTACGTACATAAGATAAGCCCAAGGCTGCACACTCCATTTCCGAAAGTAAGTAAGCGGTCCGATAACAAGCAATGCACTGTGGAAGTAAGGTGAGGTATTTCTATCGAGAATTTGACTTATTGTTTCTATTCCTTAGAGCGGTCGTAAATATTCCCATACAAAATCTTATAATTCCGCCATGACTGTTATTTCGCAAGATGATCATCTCACAGCTGGAGCTTGGGCCGCCTGTGGTCACACACCTCATTCCAGTGAATACGTTGCATTGCCAGACCAACCCCTCCCAGATACAGATCGAAACTCCCTGTATCCTATGCTTTGCTTAGAATTATCACTTGAAAACTTTTAGGAGCTGAGAACCTCAGAGGTCTGAGACAAGAGCCTTAAGGCACCCTGCCAATCCTCCAAGCGCACAGCCTTATTCAGCAGGCTACAGTCACATCTTAACCCTTTAATTCCCAAGATCTGATTATTAATTCTCTCAACAGCTGCTACACATTTCCTTATAAATTAAGTACAAGAATCTGGTTTTAGAGCAAGATGATAACTTCTGCTTGATAGGCTGGCATATTCTCATTACCTGTTTACTGGATGATGTAAGGATAATATAGGGAGAAAGTTCATATTATATCACTACTAGTTAACTAAAGGAAAATACTAATCTTTATCTCACCCATATTCACCCACTTGTACTCAAAGGAATAAAGTGAGTACAGCAGACACATATGAGCCAAACTGACCACAGGACCAACAATTGGAAGAAATCCTACAACCACAGCCTAAAAAAAAAAGAGTAAGGTTATACTTTTTACTTCTCTGGCTCACTTTTGCCAAAGAAAATGAGTCACTTTGATTGTACAGTTTTTTTTTGGCTGATTTGTGATTCAACAGTAGTCAAGTGCTAAGATCTTATTGGACAGAGGCAGATCCAGGATTTTCATCATGAGGGGGTGCACCAGTTAGGAATGATCTAACTGGAGGGTGACAAACAAATTTTGAAAGTGAACTATGGAGAAGAAGGCTTATGGCAGGGTAATCATGGTGAACTGCTTAGAAAACATACCATTTACATGGCACTCCACATAAATTCCTCAACATCATCTTGTGTTTTACTTCAACACCAATAAACCACAGTTTTTTTTTCCTTTTTTATTTGCAAAATATTGATTTATCAGGAATCTGCAGGTCATTTCAGGGGGGAGGGGTGCACACCCCCTGCATCCCTCCCCTAGATCTTCTCCTGTTTCACTTGCAATTATTTTGCTTACTACTCAGTTAGGTATTTATCTGAACCTGTTTGTTTAAAAGGAATAAAAATTTTTTTGTCAAGAAACTTCAAATGCAAAATTTCAAACTACCCATATGTGGTTTTCAGCAGATTAACAGAGTGTAAACTTCAGCCCTCAACTTTCTCTCTCTTTCAGCCAAATAAATTCTAGTGCCAAATAAACCCTTCACAGGTTTATTTGCAACCAACATATAGACCAGCTCCCAGTTGGCTTGTTAGCTCAGTTGGTAGAGTGCTGCACAGTACTGCAGAGATCATGGGTTCATATCTCATACAGGCCTGAATTTTTTTCAGGCCTTATTTTTACCACTACTATTTAACTAGTGATCATAAGTCCTAGTGTTTCAAAACATTCCTATTAATACGAATGACTCCCACAGAAAACATACATCAACTGTATACCTTGAGAACTTAACTACTGTAACATACAGCAATTTATAAGTAAATTTTGATAGCGAATGTCAGTGACAGACTAAATAATACGTCAACTCGTAACCATTCAACTAATAATTTGACCCAAAAAACAGCTTACATACAGAAAGCCTTTGACATACTGATTTCAAAACTCAGACAAAGTCTTACACAATTGGAACGATCTATTATGAGTTACCTGCACAAGAAAAAGCACCTGAAGCAAAAAGCTAAAGAAGAAGTCAGCCACTGTTTTACTGATGTGGGATGACACACTGAAATCAAATTTCAAATCTCACATCAATACATATCTCTTATTAACTGAATACAAGGTCTGTACTGTAAGTTACTGACCTGCATCTACAAATCCCAGTGGAAAATGCAAGTTTTCATAACTTACAGTCAGACCAAGAAAACAAGTTTAGTGAAATATTTAGTATATCTCTGACTTCAAATAGAGTGGAAGATTTTAATTCAAACAAACTTTTGAATTTTGCAGGCCATACAGTGAAATATGGTCTGCTAAACTAACCAATTATACTGCAGGCACTAACTTAAGGGATATAATAAAATATTTTTAAATATTTCTTTCAACTGTGTGATAGATTGAAGTTAGTAACATAATGAAAGCAAATAATTTTCAATATAACCAATTATACTGCAGATACTAACTTAAGGGATATAATAAAATATTTTAAACTCTTTCTTTGAACTCTGTTATAGATAGAAGTTAGTAACATGATGAAAGCAAATAATTTCCTCCAAATATTACAGAACTGATCCCATAATTCAAAAATTCAAGGACTCAGCATATCAACCTTTCTTTCTTGAGTGAAGCCAAGAATCCAAGAGGCCTTCCTCTAGTGTTGCGGTATGCAGAATCAGCTATCTCCTAAATCAAATATTACATAATGCATAAGAGGAACATCCTGTTAACCCTCTAACACCCAAGATCTGATTGTTAAATCTCCCCTCTTGGTGTCAGATCAGGATAACAACTTTTACCTCATTAGTTTCAATATTCTCATTACCTGTTTGTAAGATAATGTATGGATATTATAGAAAGTTACCTGTTGATTACTTCTAAGAGTTCAAGGGTTAAACAGATCTCTTGAGCTATGAAAGCATACACCTATAGGAGCTTCCCTCTGTTGCAGGAATGGAATTCAAATATTTGAATTTCCAGGTTCCCTGTCCATCTGGGTTACTTTTATACTTTTCATTTCAAACTACAACATCTCTAGATAATGCAGGGAAAAAAATTCAAATTGAAAAGCAAATGAATACAAGTGGAATTGGTGATATAAACAACAGAGATAAAAAGTTACCTGATACCATAATGAATTGAGTGGCTTGCTGAGCCAAAAGAGAGGTAACACCCACAAAGCACTGAACAAATATGATAACAAAGGTCCCATCCATCTCCACAGCCACAAACCCTGATGGTGTGCATTTCCAACCAGTGTATCTATGGTCATTATTATGAATATACTTGCATTTTTCAATCATAAAGGGATAAATTTGCAATCAATTATCATTCAATACTCATATTAAAAAATAATGGAAATAATATTCAAGCTCTGATTGGCCAAAATCTGTTCCATAGCCATGTGATCAGAGCCAGAGCTCATCTTAGATTTTTTAGTATAAATTCTTGTCACTTGACTGCTGATACTGTATTGATATTGTAAGGAAAACTTCTCTCTTGGAGGCTCATGGGAAGGTTAATGGTTGAAGTATCTCAGTGGTCCAAAATCTTAAATCCTTGATTCTGATTGGACCAACAATACTAAGTTACAACACATATCTAAAACGACTCAGCAAGGAATGAAAACTGCACTTCTAGAGTTAAAGAGAAAAAAAAGTAAAGGATATATTTAACAAAAAACTACTTACTGAATATAAAGTGAGTAAAAAATTGTAGCCCAGGAAGGATATAATTCTCAAAGAGAAAAATACTCATCTAGAAGAAAAAGAAAAGGAAAGAAAACAAACACCATCAGTACTGTAAGTAAGTTTCCTTGATCAGAAATACTTAAATTAGGATCTTGGGAATCATCTGTCATCTTGGAAGTCACCTGGCAAAATTTGTTTGTTATTTGTTTCACTACCAAGATCACTGTCATCTTGGAAGTCACCTGGCAAAATTTGTGTGTTAACCGTTTCACTACCAAGATCACTGTCATCTTGGAAGTCATCTGGCAAAATTTGTGTGTTAACTGTTTCACTCCCAAGATCACTGTCATCTTGGAAGTCACCTGGAAAAATTTGTTTGTTAACCGTTTCACTCCCAAGATCACATTGAGTAATTCTCCTTACTGTCTGCTATAAATTCTTATAATGTTCGTTTGGAGAATTTGGTATTGGATCTGCTACTGACCCCTAACTGTTATTTTTCTCTATTCTCATCACTTGTCTGCTTGATACTGTATGAATAATATAGGGAGAAATTCTTTCTTGGTCACTCATGGGAGTTAAAGGGTTAAAATTGGTATAAAACATCTTCTGTTGCTAGAGGTGGAATTTTTATAAATAATGGATACCTAAGGGTCCTTCCTCCCCCCCCCCCTCCTTCCCTAATTTGAGGGAAAACCATAGCTAGGTGCCTCAACTTAAATAAAGAAGGATGTTTTTGTTTTGTCGCAGGCATGGGAGTTAGACAAAAATCTCAGTTAACCACAAGGACTCAAACCCCAGACATTACTCCTTTGCACTCTGATTCTCAACCACAGAAAAATCACAGGTAAGTGAGGCCATTGGTGGGTTTATATGTGAAGACACTGCTGTATCCAGTTGTTAAATTCAGAGAAAGTTGAATTATACTGGCCGGGGTACTTACCCAAAATATTCCACCATTTAGCATGCAGCACTGCAACATTTTGCTGTAAATATCTTTAGCTCCTGTAGATCTAAAAACACATTCCACTCGAAATATAAACATCTCAACCACAAATTTTGCTAAGTTAGTATAATTACAATTGCAAACATTTAGCAACTGTGACAGAAATGATGAATAATAAAAGACATCGACGCTTCAGCAAGACGGGTACTTAGTTTTCACTGACCATGCATAGTCTGAAATCGTTCCAAATACTGTACCTACGCTTTTCAAATAGCTTTTACGTGACGGATGATAGGTCCAAGAAAGCTTAACTTTGATCTCCTTTGAATTTTACCCTCAAGCAAATAAATATTAGTTTAAGCTGACATGACAATAATTGCGCCCTGATGTCAAAGGTTTCCTCGTTTGTCAAAGGAAACTCTATCTATGGAACTGATCATAAATAAAACGTAACGCATCAAACTGCTTGACACTTAACTTGACATTATGAATTATTCTAGTTGGACTTCGCCCGCTTGAAATGGTATTTCTTGCATACCTATCTGTCTTTTTATCGAGTTCATTTTGCCTGCCTCTTTGCCTTGTTCGTCTAGAGGACTGCGGGTCTGTTTTAAATTGGTCTTCCGTTTGTCTTTCCTCCAGAATACTGTTCACTCTTAGCAGCAAAATCGTTCCAAGTAGAGAATCTTTCAATCCATGCCCGAAACCAAGAATTATTGGTCTTAATTCGCTCATATTTCCTGTGCGGTTCTATCATACTTTGTTATTATTTTTTTTCAAAGAACTCTTGTCCAGTCTCTCACGGCAAGCTTGGTAGCCTCGCTGTTAGGTGGGATGTCTGCTTGACCAAATGCGTCTTTTACCCAATTTAATTGGAAAAAAAATGGTCGTTTGTAGAAAAATCGCGGTAATTAGTTTTTATTTATCTACTATTCTAAAATTAACTTTCCATTATCTTCATTCTAAGATAGCGTTAAGAGCGTCATAAGTCTAAGAACTTAAGTCCCTTTATTCCTAGTCTGCGCTATTATCTCTCATTAGCAATATAGTGGTTTTCTTTTTTAGACTGAAAGCCTCACTGAGCAAGAAGGGATCACAGTGTATTGCAGAGAACTAGGAAAATTTTGGGCGCTCAAGACTGAGGAAGTTTGGTCAGTAACACCCATATAATTAGAGGAAATTAATTACTATCTTTCAGAAAAATTCCGCATTCAATAACTAATACAGTAAGAGCTCTCTTGGTTAGATGGAGTCGAAAGGGGGATTGTGGCAAAATAAATGGTCATATAATCCAGTGAGATGGTGAACTCCAGATTCCAGTTCAAAACAGCGAGTAGCTGTTTCTTTGTGTTTATTTTTCCACACTAAGACCACTAACAACTCCATTCCCACTTATGCCAAATTTTAACTTTAAAAAAAGTATCTAATTTTTTTATTTTTACACAAGCCTAGCTGGCCCAGTTCAGCTTGAAAGCTAAATTAAAGGAGGGCCTGCATTTACAATAAGAAGGCCAAACCACACCACCAGGAGCTAGGTTCCCTACTCTTTGCGAGAAGTGCGTGGGTTCTTTAACGTCCCCTGCTAACCAGAACAGAGAAAATGCAGGAGATGGGACCTACGGTTTATCGTCCTTATCTGAGAAGACTAGATTGTCTGACCATTTGTGGACGCTATAGGAAAAGCCCTGAGCGTGTTGGTGCAGTAGTCCAACGCTCTACAACATGGGCTAATCCTGCGCCGTTCAGCGACACTCCGTTCCACCAGTGGAGGTTTCCTTTCCGACTAGGTCAAACTTGAGATAAAATGCTGGAGATGGCAGCATTCACCTGAGGGACAGCTTGCACCTCACCCCATTCTTTGGGCTCAAGGTCATGTGTTCTATTTGTTTGAGGTCTTGACCTGGAACAAGATTGAATTTGAATGTTTGAAGCAAACGGGCAATTAACAGTTTGGTCTCAATTTGAGCAAAATGTATGCCGATACACGTATGACGGCCGAGAGAGAAAGGAATGTACGCATAGTGCTCTACATTCTCAAGATTACACGTCGCAAAGCGCTCTGGATCGAATTCCTCCGGGTTGTCCCAGTAGTTACTATGGTGATGAAGAACATAAGCGTTCACCATGATGCTCGTTTTGGCGGGAATGTGGACACCGCCCATGATCATGCTTTCGTTTGCCATGCGCGTGATTGCTGGTTCTGGAGGATGCAGGCGCAGAGCTTCCTTGATTGTCTGTTCCAGGTACTTGAGCCTTGCGAGGTCTTCGTAGCGCACGGAACAACGACTGCCAAGGACTTCATCAATTTCGGCCACAATTCTAAGAAAAAAAGACAAATCTATGAAAATCACGGACTCCTTCAGTCATGCTTTACCCACCTTAGAAAATTACCGCAATTCTGTTCTCAGATATGTAAAATACTCCTGGAAATAAGTTAAAGAGTAGAGTAGGACGTTCTATTTCAGAGTAAGACATCTGCAATTGAGAGATGTAACAAACCTTTCCTCCACCTCAGGATGAGAAGTTATTGCCGCAAGAAGAAACGTTAAATGGTTCGAGATGGTCTCCTCTCCTGAAAAATAATTTCAATTAAACAAGATTTAATCGATCTTAAAGAAAGATTAGGTGTAGCAGTGAAGTCTAGCCAAAACGCAGGCGCTCGAATGGAAAGCGACGAATTGCAGAGTTCCCGCGCGGATTCACTTGCGCGAGGAGGTCCTGGATCCCCGGGTCTCTCTACTTCCTGCCCAATATCTCTCGCTATACTAGGGGTGACACTTTTGAGAGTAATTAGATGCTTATCACTCTCACCGGTTGAAGGGTTAACCCTTTAACTCCCAAGATCTGATAGTCAATTCTTCCCTCCAGCTACTACATATTTCCTTTTAAATTGGTTACAAGAATTTGGTGTTAGATCAAGACAACAACTTCTACTTGATTTGTTTGAGTATTCTCATTACCTGTTTGCTGGATAATGTATGGATATTGCAGGGAGAAATTAGATGTTAATCACTTCTGGGTGTTAAAGGATAAAGTGGTTTATGCTACTGGTGAGACTATATGACAATCCTAACTTACCACCAACTACAAATGACATGAAATGATCTACCATGTCATTCATTGTGGTGTGCCTGTCTCTCTCAGGTAACAGAAGAATGTGTGACAAGAGATCATTATGCTGATCTTCTCCTCTCTCTTTTGCCTTCCATCTTTTCTCAATCACTTCCTTGGCCACACCTCTCACAAAACATACAGCCTCTCTGCATTTAGCTTGGTAACCAAAAGTGGAGGGCTGGAACCGCATGAAAGGCTTTCTGAAACTTTGAATGAGACCCTCCAGAGCTATTCTAATGTTGATAGGTATAGGGGTATCAGGATTACTTGTGGAGTTCAAATCCAGGTCAAAGGCAACCTACCAAGTCATAGTAATCCCTTATTAGTGAAATGAAAAACCACAGTTACATGGCAATAATGATGGAACAGAACAATAAAACATCTGCCTCATAATCTAAGTCCTCAGAAACAAATTTAGACACTTGGATGAGAAATAACTAATAACTCATGAGTATCCAAATACAGTACAGTTAGACAGGTGATCAAAAAATGCAATTGAAATTAAATCCACATTTTCAAATGGAAAAAAGTAGGACTTGATCACAAGTCTATTATATATACTTAATAATTACTTTTGCTGATTGTTTTTGCAAGTTACCCCTTCTAAATGTTTATCTAAGGACACTCCCTTAAAGAGGTGTATGAAACAAATGCACTTAAAGTAATCTATTAAAATTGTAATCCAGTTACCAATCAATAATACATTCTTATGACATTCCATATTTAAAATATCAGCTTAAAAAAGCAGGGAGCTTATAGGAAGGAAGATGCTAAATTGAGGGGGTGCTTATTAGGAAACTATCAACCTGAAAGTGCACTCATTCCAATGTAATTAAAAAAGATATATATATATATAGGGTGGCAACAGTAACAGGCATTTTCTTCCTATCCCAATCATTCGAGAAAGTGAGGGAGGACAGGAGGAGAGGTACTTATTCAAGAGGGGTGCTTGTTTGACATAATAGCCAAGGGGTTGGGCACTAATCTGGGGAAGGGAGGGGGCTTATTAAAGCATGGGTACTTATTCAAGAAAATGCTGAATTCATCATTTGGTTTCTCTACCTTCAAGAAAAGAGGAATCACTATATTCCGAATGCAATCACTTTTTTTCCAACAATCACACATATCCCTTTCACTGCCAGGTGTGATTAAAGAGGAATTCCTCCTTATTCCCAAACTCCACTAAATCTTTTCGTGAGGGTCACAATAGATCTAGGTAAGAAAAGACTGGGAAGGGCAAGGATAGTAACTAGAGTGGTTAGGAATTTGAAAATACCTTTGCTATCAAGTCCAAGTTTATCCTAACAAGTTCTTCAGCCATAGAAACTTCCGCCTTGCCATCAGCAAGGCTCTCTAATCTTTGTAAGAAGGAGTCGCATGTCGTATTAAAATTGTCTATCATCCCCACTATACTCGGACGGTAAAACCCTGGATCCAATGTGGCTCTCTTCCAGCGCCACTCCTCCTCGGAAACTTCGGAAAGAAGTCCTTGTCCGAGCATTCTCTCACCAAACAGCGAGGCGAGATGGCTGTATCCGAACTTGTCCCTCGGCAGATTTTTCGTAATTAATACTTCCTTTACCAGCTGCGCGTCCGTCACAATAACGACTGGACGATGGAAAAACCAAAACACAAACATCGGGGAGTGCTGCAAGGCAAGCTCCGCCCAAATCTGGTGGATCGTTAAGTTCAATTTGGTTCTCTTTTCGTAGACTAACGCCATGTTACCCGTGAAGAAGCCACCTCTTTTGGGTCCGGGCAAATGGTCGTACTTCGCGTGGACATAGAGCAGGTAGATTACCAATCCGACGAAAATAATAATGGCAGCACATATGGTGACTGATGTTGTCCACAAGAAAATTGCAACTATGGAAATCATATTTGAAGAAAGCCGCCTAAAGGAGACGAGCTCCAAGTAGTTAAGCAGAATCTTGTAAAACTTTCGTGCAGGAAGAGAATTGATTCTTGTAACCCTGCAAGGTCCTGGGAACGAGATTACATTCCTAATATTATTAGCTCGCGTGCGAGTGTCACACCATCAAAAATTCGTGGGGGAGGGGGGTGCAGTTCTTTAAAAACAAACAAATAAACAAACAAACGAGTAACGGGAAAGTTCCTCGGAAAATTATTCATGCAGTCGTCTAAGTGACATTTTTCAATTAAAATTTGGTGGTTACCCACTGCAGTCACAGTCCCACATAAATCACAGCTTTAACAAGGGGCACAGTTTTTAATTGACAGAGAAAAGCTTGGTACTCCTGCATAAAAAACCTTTATTGATAAATAAAAACAACTTTTCTTTTTACATAAAAAATATTCTAAATTAAATCATTAAATCTTCAATTGTTAAATTATAGAATAAATAATATCAATAAATTTTAATTCTTCTTTCTCTGGGAAAATTCGGCAGTATCATACACTGGATTTTCAAGGTAGTAAAATAAAGGTCATCCCTTTAACTCTCATGAGTGACCAACACAAAACTTCTTCACACAACATAATATCAAAACGACATCAAGAAGAGAAGTAGAAAGAAGAAAGATAAACATCAACTGAGGGATTATTTAAGTCGATCTAATTACAAATTCCCCAAACTAACATTATAACAATGATATGGCAGATAGTATGGAGAATTACTAACAAGATCTGAGACTGAAAGCATTTAAAAGCCATCCTAACTAAGCTATATTGAGCCAAAATTTAGTGATGGACACAATTTCTATACAGCCATGGTTCACATTGAGTGAACATGTACATCCTCATTTTCACAGGTAAGCACTCAGCTCACACATTCAGTTTTGTTGCTCTGTTATATATAGCTGGCAATTGCTATTTTAAATTGTTCCAATAAAGTTTAAATGTAATAATTATTTATGTCATTTTAGTCACTGTAGGGTTAGGGTTAGAAATCACTCAACGTCATTTCAGGTCATTTCAGCTTATTTCATATAAGACATCAATTAAGGCTATTTTAGGTCATTTTGGAAATAACTCAAGGTCATTTTAGGTCATTCTGGAAATCATTCAAGGTCATTTTAGGTCATTTTGGAAATCACTCAAGGTCATTTTAGGTCATTTTAGGTCATTTTAGAAATCACTCTAGGTCATTTCAAGTCATTTTTCAGACAACTACCTAGCAACTACCTTTCCCAAATACATCTGCAATTTATTTAAAATCTTCTACGTTATCTATAGAACCTATGTATTCCACATTCCCTTGTGAGAGTGATAGTAATGAAACAATCCCGGCTGTTTTAGTCTTTCAATTTCCAGCTGTGCAGAAAGTACTCTGTCAATGAGATCCCAATCCTCGCCACCCCATTTTGTGGTAAAATCTCGAACATTCATACCTGTATAGGAAAAAAGAAAGCACATTTAACCATTTAACTCCCAAAATCTGATTTTTAATTCTTCCTTCTAGTTACTACATGTCCTTGTAAATTAGTTGAGAAAATTTAACATCAGACCAAGATAACAGCTTCTACCTGATAAGTTTGAGTATTCTTATTACACATTTGCTGGATAATGTATGGATATTATAGGGAGAAGTCACTGGTTAATCTCTTCACGGCCCTTGGAGGGGGAAAGGAGACCGTGGACTCAAACTGCTGACCATCAGAAGATATCTGGAATTTAAAAAAAAAAAAAACATCCTTTGCCCCTTCCCCTGAAAACCTAACTCTTTCTTGTGTGTAAGGCTTGTGGAAATTCATCTGTGACCTCTATTTGAAAAATCCTACCCCTGTATCTTTGCCTACTGATCTCAAGATCTTAACCCTGTAACTCCCAGAAGTGATCAACATGAAACTTCTCCCTAAACTAAAATATCCATGCATATAGCCAGCAAACAGGTAATGAGAATACTCAAACTTATCAGGTAAAAGTCATTATCCTGATCCAACACCAAATTCTTGTTGCTGATTTACAAGGAAATGTGTAACAGCTAGAGGGAAGAATTAACAATAAGATCTTCTGAGTTAAAGGGTTAAACCTAATACTGGTACAAGATAATTATGCAATGCATTTCTTGTGAGGCCCATAGAAATTCATCTGTGACCTCTACTTGAAAAATCTTACCCCTGCACCTTTGCCCACTGATCTCAAGATCTTAAACATAACTCCCATCCTAGAGAATTATACATGCATTTCTTAAGGAGTTGTTTGTAAAATATATTAAAACCTTTACTCAGTCCTTCTCCATTGTCCTTGCTCAGTTACTTAAAGTGAAAATGCAGAAAGTCTTCAGAGTAAAAACTCATGGTACTTACCTCCAAATCTGTCCCAGTCCTTTTTGAAAATGCTTAAAATTCCATAACCATTCACTTGCCAAAAACCGTAGGGATCACTTGGAAATGCTCCACAATCTAGTCTGCCCACAGTAGGTGCATATGCCACCTTGCCAAATATTGTGTGCTGTATATGCAACAAAATAAAAGCAAATGATTTTTGAGTGATTTAACCAATAATCACCACAGAATTTCTCAGTACAATTTGATGGTTCAACATGTCCTATGCACTGTTGTTTCACAAGCTACCTAGTACTTTTCTGAGCCTCAAGCCACTAGCTAATGATTTCAAATGTGGAGACCTGTACAAAATTTTTATTTTAACACCAACCCAGACCTTTAGATCCAGAATCAATCATGGGAGCCATTTAGGTTGTTACTTAACAGAGACAAGCTGTTACAAGAGTCTCTTTGACACACTGCATCAATTTTGTTTACTTTTTCTAGCCAAGCCAAAGTTGCCCCAACTCATTTTGTGACAGTGACTGTGACCATTCTTAAAGGCAAAAGAGTCTTCAATTGACTGCTATCTTGTTTCTGGGATAATACTTTGAACAAAATAATCTCTATATGTCCCGAACACATAAGTTACAAAGTAACACTGTCAAGTATCCCCAAGTGTCCCACAAAAGCATAAGAAGACAAATAATTTGTCTTCTTATGCTTTTGTGGGACTTTTGACTAGTATCTAATTTCTCCCTAAAAAAAACACCCCTAAATTACATTTTTAAGATCACAAAAATAAAGGAAAGCACCTTAAGATTCTTCATGGTTGACTCTTTCTCACCTTTCTTATACTATCCATAAGACCAAAAGGAACATCAATATGAAGATCAAAAAGAAAGACAATATCATCCTCCTTTGGTACAACGCTGACAGCCTTCTGTAATCCTAATGTCTTGTGAAATGGCCCAGTCAACTTGATCACGGTATACCGGTTTTTTAATGGCCACACACTAAACACTTCATCAAGATCAATGTCATCACTTGAAAAATCCACAACAATAATGTGAAAGTTGAAATCGCCACTCTGATTTGACATGGCTGCAAGTTGAGAAGCAAAGTGATGAACCCACATGCCCTGGTTTTTAACAGGCAGAATAAAGTACACTGTAGCATTGTTATCCCACTCTACACCTTCAGGGAAACAAAGCTCCTCTTTCTCCAGAGGAAGATACACATACTCAGAGAGACGGAAGCTTTCACTTGATCCATTAACACCCAATTCAAGCTCAAGGAGGAAACGACTTCCCAGCTTAGGGTCAGGGTTCTGTTCAACATTCAGGATTCTCTGTAAATAGTACTTCCTGCCAGGAAAGAAGGGAACAAAATCAATAAGGAGTTCATCTTATTAAGGTTATGTTCCAGCCATAGCAGTGATAAAAAACAAACTACTGAACTTATTACTGTGTTTTCATCCACACACAAGGTAAAGAATTAGATTATCTCAAAATTAACTTAAGGCAGAGGTCTAATCAGTTAGGTTTGATTCACAATGGAACACTGTGGAAGGCTGTACTGGGTGCCAGTCCTGTCCAGGAAATCGAACATAGACTTAGCAAGGCAGCTTAAGAATAAAAAGGATCTAGCAAAGTGAAGTTGGGTTTGATTCACAACAGAACACCTTGGAAAGCTGTGACTGGTGAAGGCCTTGTCAAAAAAAAAATTCAACCATGTCTCAGTCACATAGTTTGAGAAATCTGAGAGTTGGTGATCAGTGGTGCAAAAGTTGTGTGACATGACTTACTGTTTGTTCTTTTGTGTAAATGCAAAGAAAACAAAAAAATGAACAGCAATGAACAGTTCTTTCTACATCTATTCAGACAATAAAAGAGTTTGCTCGGGTTGTCAGTCACCACTACTGACCACAGTCCTTCTCAGGACTACACTCACCCAGACAATCAAACTACACAATTACATGAGATTACAGTGTTGGAATTAACATTTTCCATTGCAATTGTAAAGGCGTGGAAGAATTCACCAGCTCTGTAAATAGAGATTTAGATTGCACTTATTTTCAAAATGTTTAATTATTCATCATTTCTCAAGTTGTAAGCAAAGCCACGCGGTCCTTGTCTATAATACATGAGGCGAAGAGAGAAATGAAGCGTGTAATTATTCACGCCGAAAACAAATTTCACTCAATCCTTTTTTAACGCTGAATAAAAAAATTAGCCCTAGATGATAAGTCACATTAAGAGTCAAAACTACAGCAAAGGCGAACGGAAATTTACATCTGATTAGCCACAATGACGTGCCAAATGCAAGGACCTCTCACTCACACATTCCGGCACACAAGAAAGGAACCGTTGTTCACTTTCCTTTCTGTAAATATTTCCTTTCTGTAAATATAATTCTTCTTCCAACTCCAATAATTTTCTATTAAAGTTCGAGAAACAGTCGTTTTCCCGTCCACTTAGGGAGGCTCCTTATTTGGGAGGGAACAAAGAAACAGGAACCGAAGCGCGAAATGCAAATAAATCCTAAACCAAGCATTATTGATCACACCTACCGATGAAACTTATGTAAACTGTTCATAAATTTCCCAACAATTTTGCTAACAGTTACATTATGAACTTCTTTATTTCCTGCCGACCACGGTACTCGCGCTTGATGAAGATAGGTGTTGTCGAACGGGAATATCAACGAATCGTGCACCAAGTTAACACCTTCGTAACGAGAAAGGTTTCTTTCGATAATGTAGCTCGGTTTGTATGAACAAGGATTTAAAACTCCTTTAACCTCACTGCGATTGATTAAAGGAAGGGACGTGTAATTAAACTGACTCTTTAGATTCAACCCTTTGAAAACTCTCTGCTTAACATGACTTGGAAACCATTGGAGTTCCTCGTGGCCTTTGACAAGGTCACGAAAACTTCCGTTTCGCCTGCTATCGTCAAAATACGCGCTCAGATACTCTCCCGTTACAGGTTCGAGTTTTATGGACCCAGGTTTCCTCCAGTTAACTTGAATTCTGCCATTACCAGAACCTTGTTTATGCAATGCTTCCACGTAATATCTTCGATTCGCCTCGAGACGTATGTTTCGCGACTGTTGAGTAGCATATTTAGAGAAAATGCTTTCCTCTGTCCATGCGCTTTCTACGGGAGAAAAAACACTCGCTATCAAGCGAAGATTGCATGGATTTTCGTTGAAACTAAGCCACAGTTCAGAAGTATCATCGGAAGAAACTGCAAAAGTGTATAACCCCGAAACCTTAGGCTCGATGAAACCAAAAATTCTTTGAGCGTAAGCATCCACATGTCGTGCAGTTTGGAAACTCCTTATGAAAAGTCGTTCGTGAGGATAGCGAGGGAACAGAGGCGTCTCACGAAGAAGTTCGACACTATTCCCACATAAATCATTCCATATATGCAAGTTTAACACTCCAGACATTTTGGATGAATTGAACGAGGTATTAACGAGAGAAATTGGTTCATTGTATACAGTGACATGGGCAATCGATTTTCGCCCACGGGGAATTCTCGCGCGTGACCAAATAAATGAAAAAAATCCTATGAACACCAAGCACACGTAGATAGGAACTAAAACACAGAGTCCTCGCCGTAACTTTCTTAAAACCATATTCGCTTTCCTTTGAATCTCTAACGTCTTGAATAATGACAGAAGGCCGATGAAACACGTCTGGTCATGCGCTGTAACCGATGATTGAAATGGCCATGTGGTGTGGTTAATTATTACTTAGGAGAGATACACGCTTCGAAATTTTGAAAATTACATATTCAGCTAATGAAATATATATATTTTCGAGGGAGACATAAGAACTGGTTTTCGTGAGGACGCAACGCAATTTGATGAATATTGTTGTCGGTTAAATTAAACTAAAATTGAAAATAACAACTTAAAAATGCAAAAGAAACTTATATTTAGAAACATTTACTTATTATAAATAGGACACTTATTCATGCTGTGACCTCGATTTAACAAAAAGTCACAAAATATGTACCACAAATGGACTGGCGGCTGCCGCATGACTTCGACGGTCAGCCTTAATAACTTTGTTGTTAATTGGTCACATAAAATGAGAAATTCCTTTCAGCAATTTATTACACAGGTAATAAATTTAGCAGAAGAAAATGTAAATTTAAGAAGGAAGAAAAGCAATTGTCTAGTAATAAAAAGCGGCTTTTCCCACGGGAAATTTCCGTGAGGACACAATTCGCTTGGATAAAAATTGTCCCCAGTGGTTAAATAAACAAACCGATATTCAAAATGAAATTTAGAAACATCTGCATAGTGTAACTTAGAGACACTTTCATCCGTCGATAATGTTACAAAATTGAATAAGTTACTACGAAACCGAAAAAAAGAAAAAACATGCGCAATTGCCTCTAAGCGATGACATTATCAGCACAATTTTGCGAGCTGTTAATTTGTCACCCTTGATATTGGTTGACACAAACTAAAGAAAAAGAGAAATTCTTGATGTAGCAACTGTGGCACGTTATTTCTAAAAATAGGTTGGTGTTGAGAGAGCATAACCGGTGTATGTCTATTTTTTATATTATTTTTTTGTCTGTCATAGTTAAAAGTGGTAACGAGTCATATAAGCCAATCAGTGAATATGATCAATCCTTTGTTGACATTAAAGTTGCCAAATAAAATTAGCTTTGAACAATTCCTGGACTGATTAAATATTCATATCATATGCACGTGACGAGTTGAAGAGCGGAGTGCCCACGAATTTCCGGAGTATTATTAACCATTCAGCTCACTATCCGTTTTCTGATTGGCCGAAAGCGTACAGTGCAATACCCCAACCAAGACCTACATTACTCTGGATATCACAAACATCTGATCCAATAACTGTTTTTATTGTTTCTTTAGAGGGCACGGTAACGAATCTTGC